AGGGAGGGGCCATCCACACCTCCCCTGGGCAACCTGTTCCAGTGCCTCACCCCCCTGCCAGTAAAGAATTTCTTCCTAATATTTAATCTAGGTCTACCCTCGTTCAGTTTAAAACTGTTACCCCTTGTGCTGTCACTACACTCCCTAAGAGTCTCTCCCCATCTTTCCCATAGACCCCCTTTAAGTACTGGAAGGCTGCTATACGGTCTCCCTGCAGCCTTCTCTTCTCTAGGCTAAACAACCCCAGCTCTCTCAGCCTGTCCTCATAGAGAGATGCTCCAGCCCCCTGATCATCTTCGTGGCCCTCCTCTGGACCTGCTCTAGCCGGTCCATGTCTGTCTTATGCTGGGGGCCCCAGAGCTGAACACTAGGTCTGACAGGCGCTTTCTGTTCTGTGATATTTCTTATGGACATTTTAAAGAGTACTGTGAACTAAACTAAGGTGTAATTTGAATAAATAGACAACATTTATGTGAATAAATATTTTATTCCTAAATAACAAGTTTTTGTAATCCCCCAAATTATCTCTCAATCCAGGGAAAGTGCTAATTCCTCACCAAGGTTCCTGGATGGATAGTGCAGAACCAAAGCCTAAAGACAACGGTAAAAGAAAAACCAAAGGGGTTGTGGGGGGGTCCTCTCCCCTGTTCTTTTTGTGTTTCGTTTTCAGTTTTTTTATCCTGTTCTTGAGGCTGGGTTAAAAAAGTGCAAGCCTTTCATTTCAGGCTCATACAAACAAAATATCATTTGTGTTTTGTTTTCAGTTTTTTTATCCTGTTCTTGAGGCTGGGTTAAAAAAGTGCAAGCCTTTCATTTCAGGCTCATACAAATAAAATATCATTTGCCTTCAACAGCAACCCTCCATCAGCAGAAAAGCTACATCAATTTTCTTTAGCAACTATCAGCATTACTGGCTCTTCTATAAATTCACCAGGAACATCTCTCTTCACAACCCATTACATTCACTTCATGAGATGGAAACATTTTGGTTGAGCAAAAAGACATTAATATCTAAATTTACCAATATCAGCTGTTTAGTTCATAAAAATGTCCAGTTTTTCAACAAAGACACGGGCCACATTCCAACTCTGAACCAAAAACGCACAGCTCTGATAACGGGTATTATTCTGCATGAAGGAATTAGCAGAAAATTATCTCTGTGTTGACACTGAAACCTTTCATCTCTATAGCTAGAGGTGATGACTGAAAATCAAAATAAACACATATGAGACCCAAATGCCATTTACTCACTACATATTTGAGAAACAGGACAAAGTATTGATTGCTGAAATGCTGTATCAAGTGATTTGGGGAGGGTGTGGTTCACAGCAGCCCAGAGGGGAATTAAATTTGCAATCTCCTCTGAGCAGGATTAAAGGAGAAGCAGACGAGTGCAGCAGCACCCGACCAGAATTACACTGGAGTTCAAGTTGTTTTTTTGCCAAACCCTACTTGTGTCGCCTCAGTCAAAACACTCAGGGTTGGATTTAAAAACACCCAGATGAAAGCAAAGAAAACAAGCATTTAAGTGCCTCTAAATATCCCGTGAAGCATTATTCCTGGTTTTAAGTGCCTAAAGTTGGCCCCTGCTCCCTCCCTGCCTTGTGTTTGTGTATAAAATACAGTGACTAGGAGTTCTTCCAGTGCTGGCGTGGGGGTAAGGATAATATAACACAGTAATAAGTCATACGGTAATACGTATGGTGTTCAGAGAACTACATGGGTGTGAGCTATAAATTTACTTTAGATAAGGGGCTTTGGTTTCTTTTCTTTTTCCTGAGAACTGGTGATTCATTATGGAGCCTTGTGGGGGCCTGAGACCTCGATGGTCCTTTCCACAGAAAGGATGAGAAAAAGAGCGACTGTGAAACGGGGACTGCACAAGCCTTCCCCATCCATCCTTCCGACCGCGCTCGGCAGCAGGGAAGAGCAATTCCCCGGCCCCAGCCCTGCCCGGCCGTGCACCCGGTGGTCCAGGCACCGGGGCAGGAGGGAGCACATGCGCCCAAATGGACGGGCACCAAACCTGCCCAACCAGCAGATGGGTTAGAAACAGATGTTCTGCAACGGCATGCTAAGTATCCAGCAGTAACCTGTTTTACGGTATTTCTCAATTAGCAGCTTGTGTTAAAAGCCTTTTCAAATGTGTTTGCATGCTTTACGGTGCCTTGTCATTATGACACAATACCTTTTTATTCCATACATCTCACAACAAAGCAGAAGATCACAAGGATGAAGGGAAGCTAAAGAAGTTTTGCCTTGAATGCCCACATGATGTAGTCCCTGGAGCCCTCCAGCTGGCCATACAGAGGGCTGAACCGTCCCCACGCCAGCGCACACGAGCAAGCTCGCTTCCCCAACAGGGCTCTTCTGCACCGAGTGGGTCCAGCCACCCCCAGAGAAATGCTCGCTGCTCTTTGCAAGACCTCTGCTGTAGCTCCTGCAGCAAAGCTATTACTGCTTCTCTCTTTAGTTCCTATACCGTAAGACAGGCAATTCAGCAAATTCAATAAATCTTTATGTCAATAGGTCTCGATTTAATTGAATTCATTCACATAGTCCAAAAATACAAAACAACATGGTTCAAGAATCACAGTCCTTTTTGAAATGTATACCTGCTTCTACTACTTATAAGCAACAGCTTTTACAGTAGCTTTCTACTGGCAACAAGGAAAGGATTGCATGGGTTTTCCAGCACTTCCTAGCTAGGACAGCAGGCAGACAGCACAACTGAAGTAACCTGTGTTTTTACTGATAATTACAGAGTTTATGGGATCACAGACGAAGGAGAGGTATTATCCAGCACTGTGTGAATGCAACCATGCATAAGAGATGCGACACAACACAAGTACCCAGCACACGAGAGTTCCAGATCTCACCATCTGCTCAGTGCAAAATTCACATCACATAAACAAGCCTAACATGAGCTAACCTCCTGCCCTCATTATTATAATAAAATATTTACCAAATCAACGGCAGTTAATAAAAATCTCTGCTGAATATTAGGAACCGTTACAATGTAAAGGCAGCAATGTAAAGGCTATTTTTGTATGGGTTTAGCAAGATTACAATGAGAAAGGATATAGGAACAGCACTCCAATATATCTGCATAAAGCAATAGGTTTTTTTTTTTCATTACAAGCTGATACAAACTTTAAAGTCAATGTAAATTAAATAAAATGAGGAAAGTTTTCAAATTGAGCTGCCAGCTAAGTGTCAGTATCATTATAATTCCCAAATCATCATTCATATAATTAAAAGAATATGAAGCATAATTTAAAATCAATGTTTATCCATCTTCCTCCACTCTGCTGCGATTCCACGTAAACACAGAATAATTATTCTCATGACAGTATCAGTGATTTTGTTACCCCAGCTCCAGATGAAAAACAAGTCATTCCAGGTCTAGGCTTTCCAAAATATGGAGTCATCACACTGTACCTGTATCTTCAGGCATTCCCGCATTAATTCCCTTCAAGAGAGGAAATGCCACCAGAAGCACCGCTGCTGTGTGGCCGTCCGGCGGCGAGGAGCTCAGCTGGAGCGGCGGGGAGCGGGACCTGCGGCAGCGTGCCGTCACGGAGCCGCTCCGACACCAACGCGCCCAGGGGTCAGATGACTCCTGCAGCACCCACGCACAGGCGGGAGGCGAGCCAACACCTCGCCGCCGTGTAAAAATAGCGTCCTGCAGAAGCCTAAATATCATCATGTCCACGGGGTGGGCCACCGCTGGCAGGGTCCCGGAGGGACCGGACGCGGGATGTGCCACGGCTGTCTTTGCATCGAGTGATGCCACCTTCCATAGCCACTGCAGGGTGGTGCTGGGCACCTGGGGAAAAGGCTTAAAGAAGGAAAACCTGCAAACTGCCTGGCCACAAATTAAAAATACAGGCTGAGGTAGCTGGGAAACCCCTCTAGCCATCCCCCGATCCAGGCGGTCCCTTCCCCCTGCCGCAGGAGGGCACAGCACTGATTTCGGAAGGAGATGCTGTAAGCACGTCTCTCTCCCGAAGGTGGCCAGTGAGACACCTGGCAGCCAAAAATCTCTCCCTGATCGCTCATATAGAGTTGGACTGCGTATCACTGGAATAACAGCGATGTGTTGAGCTATTTAAAGCAATACTTGCTTGCCCAGTTATCATGTGAATACTCCACGAGGATTAAAATCTGTAGCTCTTACTTGCTTTGGACTAAATTTGTATGAAAGCAGTAACATGGCTTGTGCATTGGAAAGGGGACTGATGGCTTGGAGAACAAACTGGCTAAACCTGGAGAAAAGTGCTGGGATAGGAACAGGACTGCACCTCCCTTTTTCACAGAAGCCAAAACACTCTCCCCCCTCCATTGCTCACCATCTTTTATCCAGTCATTGCTTACTTGGTTACAAAGCAGCGAAGAAACAGCTTTTTCTCTCTTTTGACAAACAGAAACTAGTCAGGGGTGTAAATGTGAAAACAGGTCTCCGCAGCTTCTGATGCCGCTGAGGGAGGGCTGCGAAAGCAACACAACTTGTGTAGCACCGTGCACAAAAAGCACAGTAAGTTCACTCTGCTACGCAAGTTGAAGAATATTTTGCACTGAATCATAATAAAATCCATTGAACTGATCCAATTCGCATGTATGTTGAAGGCTGAGTCGATGCTGAATCGTTTTGCAGGAAGTTCAATACCTTCCAATCTCCATTAAAAAACATTTTTTTACAACTTGCAATACTGCTTTTTTTCTTTGTTTGAAAAGAAAAAAAAAGGCTTATTTGTGTAGAATAAAGTGCAAATTTTATGGCTTAGTGAAACGCTTATGAATTTTTTTAAGCTCTTACCAGCTCACTATGGGTGCATTCTTATAAACACTACATAAAGAGGGGGTGGAGGCTCTTTATTCTTTTTTTTGAGAACAAAAAGTATCAATGCTTCAAAAGCATCTATATACAATTATGATCAAGTTTGAAAATATTTCATGATGAGAAGCCAGACACAGCTGATAGTTCACAGATCTTACAGAAATGCCCATCAACTAAAGCAGAAATCAAGAATCCCCCCGAGTTTCCGAATGTTTCCCTTTGGTTTCTTACTTACAGAAAACATCTTTACATTTTGTAATGGATACGAAACAAAACATTGCTTTGTTTGTCCAGTATTGACTATTGGGAACGGAACAAACATTTCTAGAAGCACAGCTGAGGAGCTCTGACTGCAGAAATCCATATGGTGAGTACCCCACTGTCCTGGGCCATGCCAGACGTGGTCCGTTGCTTTAAATATCCCCTGGCTGACATGGCCTGAGCCCCAGAGAGCTGATCTGAAGATCCCAGGTTCTGCACGTTGAATCAAAACTACGAATGATTCCATTTTTAAAAATTTTTATATATGCGCTATCTTGCAGCAACGGACTTTTGGCATTAAAACCTTGTGGCACTATTTTGGTCAGTACTGTTGTGCTGTCTGTGTGAGGCCAAATCCGTCCCCGCGCTCTTTTGGATCATCATCAGCCACCCTGGCCGAGCTCTCCAGATATTTGCAGGATTTGGCCTACTTAGTTTTTCCCAGCGGCTACTTCAGCTTGGCAGAAGCGCAGAAGGCGCTTTGCTAAATAGCAACGCTCCGAAGGAAAGTAATTAATAGGCAGGAAAAGTGAAAGCGCTTTCACGCTAACACAGCCTTTCCCTCCGCTCGCCAGGCTTTCTCCTTTTCAAGGCTAAACGCTACGTAACCCACATTTTGACGTTATGCGATCATAATGCAGTCACATAGTGTACTAATTTGTATTTACAATTCTAGGTGTAATCCCTGAGCCTCCCCTGCGGTCTCACCACTTGGCTACAGCAAAGGAAGAATCATACTCGAAGAGCTCAGAGGGTTTTGATGGCGTTGCTGTGAAACTCCAGCGCCCGTCATGGGCTCCACGGGCACGAAGTACGAGACTGTTGCACTTCATTAGTGCGATGGACTGACTCGGGGGAGCATGACAAGAGACAGCAATGACAGCAGCACAGGCGAGACAGCTCAGACACTGCCTGCCGACGCTCCTGCTGCAAATGATCCAGAAAGCAGAATAGGTTTAACCTGATTTCTCAGATCAACACAAGCCAAACACCTGTAACTCCCCTCTTTTAAAAGTAGTAACGGTACACTATCCTCGCTATAGAAAAGGATGAAAAACACCTGTGACTCCCCTCTTTTAAAAGTAGTAACAGTACACTATCCTCGCTATAGAAAAGGATGAGGCATTTGGCTCCTCTTAAAACTTCAGGTGAAGTTCTGGTAGCCACAGCAATGCCCTCGCCCATCCTCTGTTTCAGGTTTCTTTTCTTGTAAGGTTACATTACCAAGGTCAATGCCTTCACTGATGTCTTTGCAAACAGCAGCCAGACAGCTTAGCAACGAATTTAGGCCACGCTGAAATGGATTAGTTGTCTGCAAACTCCTTATAGCCTATGGTACTATTGGTTGTAAATGGTATTTTTAAAAGATTTCAGATCCGTTCCCAATTAACCCATGTTTTTTCCTGTACTCACATCTCTCTTCCCACTAAAAGCGAATGTCAATAGTAACTGAAGGTGACGGTATACGGCCTAATCCTGCTCCTTTCTCCCATGCTCACAGCACTTCACCAGATCCATTTCGAGCTTTTTCCATAGCCTGTCTTTGAAAATGTTTAGACACATTTATTTTAGTAAATATGGAAGAACGTAGATATTTTTCTTCACTATAAAATATGAAGTACTTTCTAATCAAGAATTTTTTAAAAATCAAAGTGAAAACACCACCTGAGATTCAGGGACTTTGCAATACATGTATCTACCTGCTTGCATACAGCAATTCTCATGCTGCTCGGGGACTGCATGTTGGTTTAACTTTTAGGTTGCCCTGTGTGGAGTCAGGAGTTGGACTCTGTGATCCTTGTGGGTCCCTTCCAACTCAGGATCTTCTATGATTCTACGAATCTGTGTCCTTGGACTTTAAGTCACGCACTAAGTTAAACCAACCACACATATGACTGTTTAATAGCAAATGGAGACTACAGAGTTCAGTCTCAATACAGATTAAGAAATTTACTTTTCATAAACAATCTGTAATTAATAAATTTTACTTTGAAAATGCTGGAAAATACAAGAAATCATCATATTTCACAGATTTTTCTCAGTATGCTTTAAGGTATCTTTCCTTCTGAGTCGTAAAAACTGGCTGTAGAGCTGCTTCATGTTCTTTTTGACTTACAGTGGTTTCAATCCAGGTTAGTGTTTATTTGGATCTTCTGTTGAGGATAATATGATCCCAAACAAACAAACAAACAAACGCAATAAAATTAAGTATACCTCTGTATGTAATGATACAGATTTCGGCAATGCTTGATCACTAGGACAAAAATAAAATTAAGAAACAGATGTTTCCTTTTAACTATCATCATTTATTAATTGAATTGATGTATTCCTTAGTGGTTGTGTTCAAAGTTGGCACTATTGCTGGACAGTCCTTGCCCTCAAGCACTTATGATTCAAATAAAGAGGACAAACCCATGGTAGAAGTGAAAATGAACAGTAAAAGGGTAAAAGTTTGACGAGATAGGGTTGGATAAATGGTGTCTCTACAACTAAACCCATGTCTTCCAACTTTCTGCCCAGCCTCTCCTTTGTCAATCCAAAAAATGGAACTTCCAGAGTCACCCAACCATGTCCTCAGCAACCAGTCGCACCCTACAAAATCTGTCCCGTGCAGAAACAGCCTGAATTTAAACTTCTGGGTCTCAAACACCTCCATCCTCAAGTCCACGCATGAGAAAACATTTCTCATCACCTGCACAGCAATGAGCCGTATACACGGGCATCTTTAATTGAAACACGCACCCAAGCAAGTCAGAGAAAAATAACAATTTGTGAGCTCTTGTACTACAAAGCACTGAAGTATAAGACACTGACAATGCTGCATATTTATGAAGCACAAAAATTTAAAATGTGAGATCAGGCTGAGAATCAATTCTGAGCTCTCCACAACGGAGAGCAGGCAGCTGTGCTTGCTCCAGAGGTAACTGGGTCATGAGTCCTTCTCTGCTCCCTGCTATCTCTTGGGAACAGCAAGCTTCCTTCAGCCCTGAAACTCATGATGACAGCCCTTGTCTGCTGGCAAAGTCGGATGAATGAAACCAGAACTTCTCGTACTCCTAGCTCCTTTCTCCCAGGGGGGACCTCTCTACAGCAGACCTAGATCCAGACTGAAGGGTGCATAATCCCCTTTTACTCCCCCAACCAGAATAAAAGCACCATCTAGTATTCTTCAGAAAACTGCACACATGAAAAAGTGAGCAGAAATCAAACACAAAGCCTGCAAAGCCTTAGCAGAGATTTTATAATGGGAAAAAGTGGTATATCAAACCCATAAACAGGGTGCACGAAAATCCTTAGAGGACTGAAACCCCCGCCCCGTCTCATAACGAGGTGACAGAGTACCGGCACGTCTGGAA